AAGTACATCCTGAGACAGAGCTTCAGGAACTGAAGGAGTTGGACGTGTTCAAGGCGATTATCCGTTTCATCATATTTGTTTTGCAGAAGCAGCTCGATGGTCTCGATCGACAGGTCATGGGGAATAGAAGTAAAAAGGGATGTAACATCAAAAGATACCATGATCTCATTTGGAAGGAGGCTTACCCCTTTGAGTTTCTCCAGGAATTGTACTGGCGAAGAGACCGTGATGTCTGACTCAACGGTCAGGAACTTGAGACGCCGGAACAGCCACTTAGCCAGGCCGTACGTTGAAGTACCTTTGAGCGACACGGTGAGTCGTAGAGGAGCGCCCTCTTTGTGCACCTTAGGGTGGCCATAGAATCGGGCCAAAACCGTATCTTGGGGTTTCGTCATGCGTCTGTTGGTCGGTGTTATTGTACCTGAGTTCTCCAAGGCTAACAACGTAGCATTAATTTTGCGTGTCAGCGCTTTTACGGGGTTCGTTGCACATTGGACATAGAACTGTCGGTCCTCCAGTAAACCATTGACTTTTCGAACGTAGTCTGTCCTGTCCAGTACAACCGCGGACCGCCCCCTGTCCGCTGGCAAGAGGGTGACAAGGGTGATTACGATGGTCATTTCTGGCCCATTAGCCGTCATCAGCTAGTCACGCCCAACCCCGAAGTGTAGAACACTTGGGGCTCGATCTGGGGACCTGTTGGTCAGAAATACAATGCCCTTAGCCACCAAGTCACGGGCTCCTTGTCCTGTCGGTTGCGATCAGGTATATACAGTGGTGGGAGGGCACTCACCGATCGCGCTGCGGAACTCACTCGTCCGATTGTGCCTTGGGGCTCTCTCCTGAGCTCCGTCAGCAGCCGCGCAGTGGCGCATAATATAAGCAGAATAGCATTACTGACAAAGACAAAGGAGACTGGAATAGGTATAACCGGCTGATGACAGCTAACAAGCCATAAATGACCATTCTAGTCTCACTTTTTACCGGTAATGCTATTCTGCGTACAGTGAGTGACCGATCTCATGAACTGACCGAAATTCGGAAATGCGTTTTCGATTAGGAAGGATTACTTAAGTACGGTTACAATATTGACTATCATGCAACATCATCCTATAATGTTTCGGACTCGCCAGGATATCAGCTTCTGAATGCATTTCTTTTTGACTTCCTGTAAAAACCGCACTCGGTAAGAAATGACTACTTAAGCAGTATGCATTTTTCACATCGATTTTTGATGCTTTTATAAATTCAATACACTTTATAGAAAACATGCACAAAAATATGCTTTCTTTTACTCGTTCGGTAGAGAATCAAGTTGCCGTCACATTTTATACTCGAAGAAAGGGCATATTTAGGTTTCGAAAAAGTTTCCCAATACCAGAATAATTTTGAGCTTGATCAGCCGTCGCATTAGCTTTTAGCGATTTCAGTCTACAAGGTGTATGCTTTCGGCGTAAGGAAAATCATGTATTCCTCTATGCTTTTAAAACGATACCATGTAGAGTTCATAAAATATTGCAATAGATGCGGGCTATATTCTACATTTTATGAGAAGCATTGGCAAACGGACATGTGCGATGCTGCTTGAACAGACATTTACGGTCTTAAAAACCCCATAATTAGAAACTTTTTCAAAAGCCAAATATACTTAAATGAAGAAGAGGAATCGAGCACCGGAACACTGTGTTTATTGTCCTGAGCTTTCAGACTCGATGGACTCTTGTACAAGACTGAAAGCTCAGGACAATAAACCCAGTGTTTCGGTGCTCGACTCTTCTTCTTCACTTATGCATACACCTGAAATTCGAAATTTCGCCTTCATTCGCTAAATACACTCTCAGTGGAAGACAAAAAGACCAGAAACAGCCGCAGATCGAGATAGTTTAGCTTGGCTGTTTCGTGTGGCTACGTAGCATGTCTGCCGAGAACTACCGAATTCTCTAGCATGCTGACGAGGAAATCCGCAACCCGGTGCCTCTGTGGTTACACGGCAACTGCATTCTGGAGATACCGCACCTCTTGTACGTCCATCATCCTTACCAGCAGGTGTATCTGACAATGAGTTTGAGCGACAATTTGAAACAGCAAGTAAGCAAAATCCCTGTTCGATCGATCGCATCCCCTTATTCACAATGGTACTCCGTCAGTCCCGCCATAACGACGACCACTGCCCACCTGGGAGAAGCGGTCACAGTGACACTAAGAAAGTTCGTAACGTTCAAAGACCACTAATGATCCAGGTACTAGTCTATGGGGAACTCACACAACATGACATTGTAGGATGTACCGAACCGCCGGTAAAAATATCTTCTTTATTATGTAAAGACGAAAATCGAGCTGTATGCATTTCGAGGGTCCTGTGAACGCAATTAATGATCACGTCCAGAGGCGTTAGAAATTCGCGACTCATACATGGCGGCCAAGCATTACTGCGCTCTGGAGTAAAGGCCCGTACCTAATGAGTCATGGTGCAACTAGGACCTACCATCCTTGCCAACAGACCTCACCCAAATGAAGGTGTGGGACATATGGAATTTCGAATGCTGCAAAGGCAACCCCAAAATGAAGCCTACTCGAACAAGGCTGAAGTACCGCCGATGAGAAATACTCGTCCCAGGTCCGTCAGTTCAGTACAAATGCCTTCAAGGCAGACCGATGAAACCCGAACCTCCACTTTAGTGAGACATAGTTCCACCTTGTGCAAAAATATTAGGCATCTTTGCTCACGAAGGTGAGCTGATTGAAGTCAAATGGATAGTTTGTGTTTCAGTCAGCAGTTTGAATAGAAGTTCCATTGATACTGTACAGCTAGTAGCAGTGTGATCTGAGTCAACGTTTACAGTTCCAAAAAACGCGAGTAAGACGAAATCAAATAGAGCAAGAAACAGGCAGCCAAAGGGGTTGTGAGATGAATTTGCGGGCGCCAAAAGGAATTGTACAACCAAAACTTTAAATACAAGGAAACGCCATGTATCAGTAGGGATGTAGGGAACTGTAGTGTTCAAGTATTGTGTGTGAAATTGACGGAATAACCACCCGTGTTGGGATCTTGAGTCAATTTGAAATTGTCAGTGGAAAGACCAAACGGTTTGAGCACCATGTTACCCAGTTGTTTCAACTGTCCAAGCATTTCTTGCTTCAGCTTCTCCTGTTGCGCGGTAATCTTGTCTGGGAGGAGCTAGAATTAAGGACGGGAAAAATAATGTGAAAAATCAGTGCAACTGCTGTAAAAGAAGGGAGAAGCGAGTCGAATAATAAACGCATAGTAGTTCTTACCTGCGTTGGGGATTCTAGTCTATGTTCGAAGGCAAGATAGGTGGGATTTAAACATTTGCTTCATAGTCTGCATGTCAGGGCGGTTAGGGAATTTTATTTAAAGAGGAAAAGATACATAAATTTCGGTGGAAAAATTGTGTTCTTTAATTCTTTGAGCCAATCCAAAGGATCTCACACAGGCGACAGTGCGTTGAAGGCCATAGTAAGGGGCAATCCGACGCTCATGTTACAGCGGAACCGAGACATCACTTTAGTTGGCAACCATCCAAGCCATGACTGTTAGCCAGTCGTGATAGTTTCGAAGTGGGTTTGTTGGTTTGAAGGGAGAAGACTAGGCGCCGGACCGGCCTCTTTTTTACCCCTTTCGTGTAACAGTAACATATCCAAGTCGTTCAGTCGACTGGTGATGTGGTTGGGCGCAGCGGTTAACGTGGCGTAAGCGTCGCCCTCCGACACATGCCATATGCATGTACAGCAATAGCTGAGGACTCAGCGCAGTCCGACAAAGGCGTGCCATGAACAGATGCAGCCTTGATTTGGCTCAGCACGACGGCCGCGAAGATTAAGGCCATGGTTGTCTCAAACTCCTTTAAATGCACCTATTTAGGCAGATTACCTTTGTGTTATCCACAAGTCGGGAAAACAAATAATCAGCAGTGATCTGCGGAATACTGTGTTAACATTGTGGTGCTAGGTATGCTGGTCGGACGTCTGACCACAAGATTGCGTGAACAGCAGCTTGCAGTCAAATGCACCATGATCATTCTGCAAACAAGCAGTACCCTTTGTAGTAAAAGTGCAAATGAGAATGGCTTTACCATATTCCCAACGTAGTTCATGGCTAAAAGTTGTCAACGCGTGTTTAGCCGACCTTCAGGCCGCTGTTTTCAAGTTGAAAGGCTTTTCCAACTCAGGGATAAATGTCAAGAAAATTCTGTGTAGACGGTGGCGAATAGCTTGAATAATTTAGTAGCCTCTTCCACCTGAGAAGTCACACTCTATGGATGGCCGTAACATAATATTAACATGGCGGTGTCGATGCGGTGCTGTCATTCGGTCAAAATCCAACTCCAAATTCTTCGCCGTCCGAGTCAAGTACATCCTCTAGAATGCACGAGCAGATTTAGTTGAACAGGGTTTGTGACGCACTGGGGCAACTACTTCAACGCACCGAGGTCCAACAATGAATCCGGCCTGATTCGCTGTCGTTCCCACACAAAACGCTAAATTCAGGAGCCAAGTTCGATAATGACGAAAGTCAGTCACTAGGTCTAATTTACTTACAGTAGATGTGCTAACTCATGAAATGTTAACAGAAATTCTGAAATGCGTTTTCGACTCGAAAAGATTACTTAAGGAGGGTTGCAATATTAATCACCGTGCACCATAATCTCAAGATATTTCAGTTACTTCAGGATGCCGGCCTTTGAACGAACTTCTGCCCGGCCGCCTGAAAAGGCCGCATTCTGCAAAAAATGACTATTTAAGCAGTGCGATTTTTTTCGATGCCCTTATAAATGCAAGTATATTTCATGGAAAACATGCGTAAAAATACTCATTCTTTCACTCATTTCGTAGAAAATTACGTCTTTTTTGAATTTTATACCTGAAGGAAGGGTATAATTCGGTTTTGAAAAAACTTTTCCAATTCCTGAATAATTTTGAATCCGACCTGTCGTTACACTTGCATTCGGGGTTTACAAACTGCAAGCTGTACATTTTCCGTGTATGGAAAATCATACATTTCTATACGCTATTAAGAGGACACCATATGGGGTTCATAAAATTTAGCAGTGGATTCAAGCCATATTATAAGTTTTACATGCAACATTAATAAGTGCAAAGACGCGATGTTTTACGAAAAGGCATTTCAAGGTCTTAAAAAACCTCATAATTTGAAACTTTTTATAACCGAATTATATCCATCCCTCAAGCATAAAACTAAATCTGCTAGTGCATTCTAGAGGATGTGCTTGACGTAGAATTCAAGTGACTGACGGAATTTCTAGACATCAACATACATTATTTTAGGGAGCCCAATCTTGCAGCAGTACCCCATTGTTGACACTTTGACGGTTGGAGGGGATGTTTGCCTTTAGCGCAGAGGGACAATAACTGCTCGGCCATCGAAATTAAGAGTATTATCGAAGTTCCCACGCTCCTGCCTGAGTTGGCAGTGGTAAATAATGCGTATTCACCATGTCAACAGTAACTCGGAGCGATAGTCCGAGTGTCGCAGACGACGACGACGACGACGTCCACCGCTGTCCGACTGCGCTGTCTGCTTGTAGCAAGGCAGACTTTCGGCGCATTTGTCGCACTATCTCCTTCTTCACTCGCCACGTTCCGATGCCAGGACAGATTCAAGACGACCAGAAGTTGGCGCGGGCGCTGCCGAGGTCAAAAAAGCCATCTACGCGTGTCACACACATGATCTGATTGCTAATCTCCGTGTACCGGGTTACAGTGAGGGAGGCTTTGACTTAGCATAAGTGGGAATGCCATAACGGCCACATTAAGGAGTCGCTGAGGCCTGATCTTAAATTCTGAAAAGGATCGAGTTATACGTCAGTTTGCAACTTTCCGAGCACCGACTCAGCGTGTGATATGTTCAGGCGTGTCAGGTTCATCATTAAGGGGGTGTGCTGATGTGTCATAGTCTCACTCCCCCATGCACAAGTTGCTTATCTGAGCCTGTCGAACAGTTCGTATTGAGACGCAGTGACTGATCAGGCTGAGCAGTCAGTGTAAGTGTGCTACATACGACCTGGACCCCCACTTTATGGACCAGGCGGCAGCGAATCACATATCTCCCATGTATGTGCAATATGAATTCTCCTACACACGAGGTTTTGCCCGCCATAACGATGATGGAAAAGTTGACCGCAGGTATGCTGCAGGAATGAAGTGTGGTGTCGCGTATGCGCATTATGTGGAGTAGGCCGATGTGTAGAATAAAGTGTGTGTATGGGTGTGCAGTTAGGGTGCGGTGTCGTGATGTGGTCTGGACGAAGTTGTTTTGCTAAAAATTTGTGTGATATCGTATGACTGAATAGGCCCACGAGATGACCAAATGACCTGAGACAATGTACAGAGGTGAGACGGACGCGAGGTATGGATGTTGGGGGTCGTGATACCGGTTCACCGGTCACAGCGCGGTGGATTTGCAAGTGATTGGCCAGGCCGATAGCCCGCTTGGTAAGCTGAGAGTTCTTGGCACAGCTGTGATTATAGCTGACCTGGCCGACTTCGATGCCACGGACTGTACCTCCCCACACGCGACGGTCTGCGGCAGCGGATCTCGACAATTCAACCCATTCTGCTCTCCAGGGATGGAGAGCAAATACCGAGGGTTCAAGAACCGTCTTGGCGAACTGTGTTGAGCCAGGTTTCGAGTTGGTCTCCTTTTCGACGCCTCCGACTGGACAACGGCGCCGGATCGAGGATAGCAACAGTGAACTCATGAGGCGGACGACGAACGTGCCCAGGGTAGTTTTGTCGTCCTTCCTAAGTTGCCTGGGATATTCTCGATGTCACAGTGAGCGCGGACTGTTTCAATTGCGACAGAGTTGGTGTACTTGAGCAGCCATAGTCAAATATATTCAGTTTTCGTTTATCTTCCACGTGAAGTCCAGCGTTTACAGCCATAGGGAAGAACGGACCGGACGGACACACGACACACGCGGATCTTCGTTGCGATAAAGATGTTGCGTCCAGCCGATGGACACCTTGTAGGGATTGTGAAAACCCCGTGAGCAGCATCGGTTCGAGAGACAATGTCGTCCTAACTCTATCCATCCGACAGCAGCCTCGCCCTGAGGTATTTGAAACTGCCTACTTCGTCAAGTTGACAGTCATTAATCCCGAGGATCAGGGATGCAGCCCGAAAACAATTAGGTCTTCTCAGCGTTTATGGACAAACCGGCCGAAGTAACGACCTTACATTTTCATGACACAATGTGATGCATCAAAAATTGTAGCAAGCAAGACGGTTCCAGAATGTGCCGTCGTGTGAATATCAGGTTCACGCATCCACACCCAAAATGAAATTCAGCTTGGTCAGCTTCGTCTTTGTCACGCACAGTCTGGAGTCGCCTGAAAATGACAACAGTGAAAACGTTTGCAACAATGTTGATGAGGCTTAGAACGCGGTAGTTCTCGCACCTTGTCTTATCTCCCTTCTGAAGGCAGGCACAAGGATGCCTGTGTCCTAATCACCAGGAATGACCTCATCCCTCCACGCCTGCTCAGTCACCTCATGAAGGCAGGGAGCCAGTGTCCGCACAAGATTTGTACATTTCAGCAGGAATATCATCCTCCCGGATGCCTTGCTGTTTCGCAGCCTTTTTAGTGCGTCGACGACTTCTAATTCAGAAAGGGGTCGCGTGACATCGCATAGATTGGATAGGGAGAGAAATCCGCTGCGGAGGGCTAAAGTGTAATGGGTTGAGCATCGAAGTTGAGAGGGTGCTCGAGGTGCTCAGGCCATCGGTTGACTTTGTCCAAGTTGTCAGCAATAAAGCCGCCACTGACATCGCAGACAGTCACTCAGTGCAGAGGACTTACCGCTATCTTTGTGGATAACTTGATAATTTCCGTGTGTCGCCAATGGTTGAGACCTGCTCCACTAGGACCGTTGTTTCAACCCAATATTCCTGAGGGTCATCCCTAGTCGGCTCTGTCATAATCTTCTGGAGTTGGCGGAAGGACTCATCGTTACGGAACCTGGTTCGAACCGCCTGGGCAGACAACTGCAAGGTCCTTCCGCTGATCCAGTCACTGCGGCGTGGGTGGGTGAATTAAATAATTTTGTCAGAATACTTTCACCACTGTCGCATCAAGATCCAAGTCAAAAACGGCCGATAAGGTGACTGTTTAAACAGTTATTAGGTCCAGTCCGGTAACCCCCGTTCCCGGCAACAATCAGCAGAGCACAACGGGTGAGTCTTTTAACTAACGCTTGCAACTGCGAGTAGAAGGTCCCTTTATCGCGCTGTTCGGCAGCTGGTGTTGGTGCGTATATGAAGACGACAGCGATATCCGTAAAGTGGCTCTTCGGCCGAACGTAGGCCATCCAGTCATTGATCGGTCCCCATCCATGTAGTGCACGGTTCGCTTGTTACAAGAGGGCAATCGTCACACCGTGTCTGAGAGGAGGAGTCGCGTGGGTCGCTGTGGCACATGATGAAGTGGGAATGCACTCCGGGTGTTTATGCCCTGAGAGTCTGAGTCGGGGATTTGAACTTCAGACAAGCGGCTGAGATCCACGACGAACTGATAAAGACTGTGCTGTCATACATCAGACACCAGAGTCAAAAAACATTCCCATTCCAGCATCCAACACCAAGAGTCCATAACCCATTACGTAGTCTAGCTCATATACTATTCGTTCGCACCACTGGACCAGGGTTGTGGAGCGCATCGGTTCCGACGGGCCTCGTAACACGGATAGTAATACTGTAGTCGGGCATTCCTTATGTGGTTTCGAGTGCGACTGGCGTTTAAGACATACAAAAACTAATTCAACCAAATGACTTCTGCAAGTATCTCTGACAAATCTCGCCACGAGTGCACGAAGTTGGCAGGAGGGGTCATTCCTGTGGGACGGAGATTGACCTACCTTGTCAATGAAATACCGATGGGTAAAGCCAATGCCACTTTCAGTTATATCAGGGACTCCGCACTTTACTGACGATCATTCATTTCCAGTTCCGTCTGAGGGGTGATATCTGCTGTTTGTTTTAAATTTAATGGTTAATGTGGCAGCATTTTTACATCAAAGTGCACCGCGGGGAGTTTTCTGGACAAAAGTGATAGATGGACTTCCTAAATTATGTGAGGAATGACCTAGATTCGATATCCAATTTCTACACTAAGCGTGACATCCAGTTAGGCAACCCTTAGCCAACTAGGGAGTATAGATTTGGCTGAAGGCCAACCCGTCAACAAAATACCGGGTCAGTCGTTTACCGTCTCCATAGACTGTAAAAGACGCCAGAAACAAACGAAAAAACTGACAGGCAAGACTCGAGATTATGGTTGGGAAGTTCGTTGACGACTTCCCACAGTTTTGGGTAGAAGTGTCCCCTTATGTTGGGGCCTGGCGGCCAGGGTGTAGAAGGTTAACACAAGCCAAAATGTAGAAAATTGATTCTGGTCCAAGGGTCGTTTACTTTTACCGATGACGCAACCGAGTACGCGTTCGCAACATCAAGCGAATACTCTACTTCGCATATTGATTGAATTGCTTTCGTCGTAAAAACAGCTTTCGCATTTACACATGGCTATGTGAAGAAAACTCAAGTAATCAACAACTGGTTTACTCCTATAAAAAATGAAACTGGGAAGAGGTAAAACCACAACGCTGATTCCGTTCGACTTATCACATTTAAGTGGACGCGAAAGATGAAATAAGGGACTAAATTCCGAAGTCAACGCTTATGTGCCCGCAGCGCAAAACACGGAAGGCACATCTTAGAGGTATTAGTTCCGAAAAAGCTGTGTCCCTGCCTTGAAGCCCAGTGTTACATTAAGTGCCTAATATACCAAAATTATTTAGAATCAAAGAGCGCTGCGTCATTACGCAGGCATACGTACGGCGCAGGCTGCACGGGCCTTAGCGTTTCCGGGATCCAACTTGAGAATGTGTTGGTAATCCTCGAGGGCCTCTGTTAACCTGTCGGAGGATTCTCTCAGTTCGGCCCTACGAATGAGACAGCGCATGTAGTCGGGCTCCAGTGTGAGTGCCTCATCACAATCCAGAAGAGCAGCTTCGGGGGAATTCTAATTGGTGGCGAGGACAGGCAGTAGGAAAAATGGCATGGTAAATAAGACGGAATTCAAATCAGCAAAACGACAAAAGGAGTATGACGGGAACAGAAAAAAGTACTGAAACTCATTGAAGGGGCACAAGAACAGGCCCTGGTAGCAGACCTGGGAGCTCGAGTTTGACGAATAAAAAGGGGGTGACGATGGTTGTTTGGGAAACCGGCTTACATCTGTCCATTCTAGCCTTCATTTTTGAGGGTTGCAGCGGTGACTGACACTGAACGACATCTCGTAGGTGGCTCTTGCTCGTGTGACTAATCGTGGTGGTAAGTCAGGTGAGCTCGATCCGCGTAATCCTTCAGCAGTGAAGATTCAGTACTAAAACTTGATAGACTGTCGAACCGCGCTTTACTGTCCGGCTAGACGTCGTCTTTTAATTATGCAACGGCGTCTGGTCTAGGACGGTGGCATTGCGCTCACGGAACGGGCGAATAATGCGAATAAAACCACTTCAGGCGTCTTAACTGGATAGGTCGGTATATTTTCTGTTGTCACTACAGTGATCTCGGACTGTTCCACGCGAGGCAGTCGCTAGATTTGCCTTAAAGATGGTTCTCTCTGAAAACAGTGATCGACAATCTCCAGTTTACGCGTCTCAATCAACAATCCAATATCTTAAGGCGCGGGTGATTTGGCAGACAAACACCTGGTACAAAAAAGCCTTAAAAATCGTGAAGGTTTCATAGGCACTGTAAAATACTAGCAAAGCCCCCAAGGGAAATATTGAGTTGGGTGCTTATTCCGTACGTACTCGTACCATTGTGGAAACCGGATCTCTAATTATTTACAAATATCCGTCATATTAGGCTGTCAGAGGGAACCTGAGAATTAGTAGTGACTGCGAAATCAGTAGCTGTCACGGCGGTTTTGCCAGCGCAGTCGATGTTGGAAAAAAATTTAAATGTTGAGGCCACACTAAGTCCAAGGAATCCAACCAACAGGGATGAATAGGATACGCCAGAACATCCGGTCATTAGTAATTGGTTGCGGACAATAGAACGGTCGCAATCGGACCTCCAGGAGGCGTTAATCATTGCCATTTCCGATGCATGTGGTGATCTCATTATTGAGCCGGACGAGATTTTAATGCCGATAGGGGCTAGGAAGCAAAGAAAAAGTAGTCAAAACCTCTCCGCCTCTTCTCATAGAAGGTAGTGTTGCATCTCTACCTAACCTACGAAGTGTCGCATGGCCCTACCTTCTCCAGCGAGGCTGGGAAAGGACAAAACTAGTTCACGCGTAGAGTATGACAGTCTGGCTGAGGCCCACACGTCTTTGTGGGCACTCTGATGCCATGGTCTGGTGAGGTGAAATAACTTGATAGGTGTGATTAACCGCTTTTCTATCATAGTGGCGAAGGTGTAGATTGCGTGAGAAGTACCCTGACGCAAGTCTCGTTGGCATATTCACAAAGGTTTCCTTATACTTTTTCTTCGATGTTGAAAATGAGTGCACGATACAGAACAAGAGTCAGCCAAGCCGAGGTTAGAGTAAGGCGCGGATATACTGGCAAAAGATTCGCATTTCGTGATGTCTTGAAATTTTGACGTGATTATCGGATGGTTGACAGTTCTAAGATAAAAGATATCGGTCCTCAGGGCCGTTAACAACTGCGCGTGAAGAAAAGAGCTCAGTGGTCAATATAATCTCTTTCTAAGGGGGAGGCCTAGGACAATATATGGGAACATAAAAAGAAAACTAAAAGTCACTGACTTTCCGTCATACTCGCCTTTCAGTCAAATAGACCATCTTAAGGGTTCTTTCGGTAAGCCGTTTCAGTCCTATGACTACAAGTCAACAAGAGCCAGATCTGTCTGCTTCCGGAACTTGGGATTACGACTGGCGGGTGAAGTACTTAAATGCGAATATTTCAAAGGATGCCTTAAAACCGGAGTTATGACTTGACAGGCATGACGATTATAGTGAATGTACAACCTTAGTCCCTGATAAGGCCGTAAGTCGGATCTGTTTCAGTGGATTCCTGCTTTGAAAAATTCACAGACAAGAAAGGATTTAATGGAAACGACAAAAGAATGCTCGCGCTCTGACGTCTGTAAGAATAAAAGAACTGACAAGACTTCAAAATCAAACTTACAAGTCGATAGTGACATGCAGCACGATTGGAGTATATCTTGGCCCGATCACACTTGAGTTGTAGCGGACAGAGTTCCAAAGCTTTTGTATAAGCTTCCAAAGCTGAGTTAAAATCCCCTGCTCTGTATGACTCGTTGCCGCCTTCCTTCAAACCAATGGCTTCAACTCTTCTAGCCTATGAAGTTCCCGCGAGATCGCTATTTTGTTACCTCTATCTCTTCTGGTGAAAGAAGACTTTCCGTATGGGCACGATCTTCAGGGGTAATATCATGCTCAGTGTCGTCTTTGGGATTTAAATCGTGACATGCGTCTTCGTAAACCTCGTCCGAACACTCCGTGGCGTTTACTTCTGGTTCAGCAAAAGAACAAGCATCGTGAAACTCCTCGTCGAGGAACTTCACGGGGCTCGGGGTACCGAGAGGTGGTTCTTCATACACTACATCCTGCAGTGGATCCCGAAAACTTTCCGCATCCAAGTCGCTCATATGCCACAAAAGTTTCGGATATTCTTGTGGTTATTCAGAGTCGGGTAACGCCGGCTATCATTCTCATTATCGAGGTTCAAAAGACGCGATTGGCTTAATTCTAAAGCGTCATATGGTTGTCGACAGAACCCGCAATTATAACGTTCTTTTTAAGAACATGCAGCGGCGTTCAACGCAGACCACCAGAAAGACCGCCCACCAAAAATTGATTATTAATGGGGTAGGGGTTGGTTCGTAAAAACAGCGAGGCTGTACGGACTGCAACGCTGTAAAAAACAGATAACAACTGGCGAAAGAGTGCAATGTGCGGATGCTGATGCAACGTCCTGTGCCCACTATAACGGGTCAAATGAGAGCTGCGCTGAATCAATGCACGTCAGGCGTCCTTTAGGAGGCACACACATAAAAATGCCATGGAGATGCGATGGCACGCCTGGGTAAAGGCCCCGCCGCGCCCGTCGCCCGCGCGCTATTTCGCCCCCCGATCTTCCTTTCTTCATCTTAGCGTTGGCTTCAGAATGGTAAGGGTGCGGTAAATACAACAGAAGTCTTACTATGAACTAATTTAGGTCTTAGTCACCGTCCTTGCGTCCACCATTCTGCGGGACATACGCTGCACGTATTCAGCTACCACGATCAAACAGCACTGTATGTAAAAAGTAACTTACTGCGTGGTGTAGTAAGGTAAACCATCAACAACTCACCGCTCCGATTTCAGCAATCAAATGACCTGGCGACTGGGCAGCCATCAGGCCCCAGACGGTAACGCCACCGCGGAGACCCGGGCGTATTGACTGCGAAGCGCTATCTATGCCACTGACTTAGATGTCCTTGGACGCGCACGTTGACACCGCCGGGACAGGTTTGGCAACAACGGCTCAGATGTCGTCAAAGTGCTTGTCAAATAGGACAGACTGCACAAGGCCTACTGCCATCGACCGCCGGACCGACACAAACAAAGCGGCCTTCATTAGATGCCGATGCCTTGTACAGCGACATCTGTTGGAGACGCAGGGCATCTGGATGGCCCGCAGGGCTCGGTAATTTGAAGAATATGCGGACTGTATTGAAACAAATTACTTCTTTGATACGGTCCCACAACCAAAGAAATAACGCGTTTCTCAACTTCGGTGAAACAACACTCCTCGAGGAGGTAATGCTAATTCCGAAGTGCTTGGTCCGGCATTTCATAATTCAATTCAATTCAATTCAATTATTTTTATTAAAGACCCGTCGGGGTCCCATCAAAGCAAGTAAAAATAAATTTACATGCAAATTTTAGACGATGTAGGCAAAATCTGCACAAAGTGCAATGCATAGTTTTTGAGATTAGAAGTCCGTTAAGCAAAATGAAAATGAAAAAAAAACGAGGGAAAAAAAAACTCCAAAGCAAAATTTAAAAATGATTGTAGTAATTTAACAGGAGAAAAAAAACCCCTCGGAAAAATAGCATCAGAAAAAAACAGGGAGGACTGGCCTGCATGTGGCGGTACAAAATGGAATATAGTCCGACATCAACATGGCCGAAATAAATGTCAGCTGTATATGGCATTGTGTAACGGATTTCATAAAATGGTACATAGGCGGGTCGGTCAGGACTGGCCTGTATCGCCTTGAATAAGAAAAATAAGTGCCGAAATTGAAAACCAGTCTCAAGCCGATAGGAACCCAGATGCGGTCGGTTTCATTCAACCGAGTCCATCCGAGCATGGGGGATATGCGACCAGACTACTAGTATATGGCGAATATAGAAGGCTTTGTCAAGACCGCCGATGGAGCGCATTCTGTAAATGCACGATGACAACCAGTCTCGAGGCGAAAAGAACCCAGATGCGTTTTGTTACATTCATCAGAGTCCATTCGAGGATAGGGTAAAGGAGATGCGACCAGATTATTAGTATATGGCTAATATAGAAGGCTTCGCTAAGAGCATCGATGGAGCGCATTCAGTGAGGGCATCATGAAGATCAGTCCCGAGGCGATAGGAACCCAGATGCGGTCGGTTACATTCATCCGAGTCCAACCGAGGATGGGGGAAGGGAGATGCGACTAAACTACTAGTATATGGCAAATACAGAAGGTTTCGCCAAGAGCGTCGATGGCGCGCATTCTGTGAGGGCACGATGCATGAACTAAAAAATTGGAATAATTAACATTTCTGGTGAGGGATCTTAGGTAACTAGGCTACTCATAAAGAAAGGAAACGTGAACAGATACGGAAATTTAATAGCGGCATGCTAAATTCCCGGTGGCCCTTTCTCAGTGTCATAGAAAAAGTTGTCTGGGAAGGATGAGGAAAATAAAAGTTTAGTCGAGTCAGTATTCAGATAAAGGCGTAGCCTTCTCTTAAAGGTGTGTAGATTTTCTGAAGATCTTATATTTATTGGAAGGTTATTCTAGAGGAAAGTATACCTGGAAGCGAAAAAAGGGAGCGCTTAGAGGTGGAGGACGCTGGAAGAGGTATAATTAGAGACGAGTTGCGAAGATTGTATGGGCGACTACTAGGGGTAAGTGTTGCAATCCGGGGAAAATTTGAACTATGATTAATGCGAAAGAGGAGACAAAGGCCCTCTTCTAGTCTTCGAACCCATAAAAATTTTAGGTTAATTAGCTGACATCTATCTGAGTAGGAGATATTGGGATGTTCCCTATCTAAAAGTTTTTTAGAAAAACGTCTTTGGACATTTTCAATTTTTAAACGACTGGCTTCATTCATCAAACCAAAGAATGGGCAACAATACTCGAGAATGGGAAGTACACACATACTATAGAGCCTTAATTTAATTTCAGGAAGATAGAAATTGTAAGAAATAAAGCCACAAATCTGGGCAGCTTTGGCTGTAATTCTGTCAGCGTGCGGCGAGAGATCAAGATTACTAGTGTAGCTTAAACCTAAATCCTTGATGGTGGTACATTCAATCATAGGTGTTCCTTGAAAGACCACAGGTTGGGGTAGCCTATCAGGTCCAAAACACATATAACGACATTTAGACGGAGAGAATTCCATTAGCCATTTTGAGCTCCAAGCTGAGAGAGCAAGCAAGTCAGCATGGATTTGCTCCAGGCAATGAAGGCTCGTAGATTTTTTAAAAGAATATACACATTTGAGATCATCGGCATAAATAAATGATTGATAATATTTAACTGCGGCTGAAATATCATTTATGTAAAGCAAGAACAAAAGAGGACCTAAAACGGTACCTTGTAGGACACCGCTCACAATAGGACTTTCACTGGAAAGTGAAGATTCCACCAAAACCTTTTGTTTACGATTAGACAGGTATGATCTGAGAAAGTCTATTAGTAGACTGCGAATTCCCATAGCTTCCAATTTATCCAAGAGTCTTTTATGTGGCACTTTATCAAAGGCTTTACTAAGATCAAAATAAATTACGACAACAGATAGGTGATCATTACGAAGAGAGGTAAGTAGATCGAGAAACGACAGATGACATGTTTCACAAGAGCGATCTGGTAAAAAACCATGCTGGGAAGGGCTAATAACTTGATTGGCTATACAAAATTCGGTAATTTTTATGGCGATGATTTTTTCAAAGATTTTGGCGAGAGAGGGTGTTTTATGGACACCTCGATAGTTCTGTACGTCAGAACGACAGCCAGACTTAAATACTGGAATAATAATAGAAGTTTTCCAATAGTCAGGGAAGAAGCCATTTACGAGAAATACTGAAAAGAGTTTGCTAAGCAGAGGAGGAAAATCTCTTAGCTGTTTTATCAAAGAGTTTGGGATATTGTCCGTACCTACTGAGTGAGAGTTAGGAAGATGACTTATCAGTTTTTGAATACATTCAGGAGAAAAATTAAGGAAGCTAAGAGAAGCATCAGACAACGAAGGAATTAAAGGGATCGGATCAGTTTCAAGGGTGAAATGCTTGGCAAAGAACGAATTTAAAATTTCTGCTTTGCCTGACTCCTCTGTAATGAAGGCATCACTTGCACTAAGCAAGGGCGGAATGACTTGGTGGGACTTAGCAGATGATCTCTGACGGAAGATCTGAGCAACTGATTTAGAAGAATTCACGTCATTAATAGCTAAAGACTCTCTACGCCTATCTCGCTCGAGCCTCATTTTCGAAGCTAGTTCAAATATTTCAACGATTCTTAGATGAACTGATAATGAGATATAAGTGTCCCCGACCACGCATCCATGATCTTAAGTGCCGTTATCGACCGGTTCCCATATGTGGAAATGAACAACGACCTCAACCTCCCGCCTTGCTTCTCAAAAACCATCAAAGCTGCGCAAGAAATCCACAGTGGAAAAGCACCGGGATACGGCGCGATCCCAGTCGAAGTTTAAAAGCACGACGGCCACCGACCGATAGGAAAACTTACAACGATATTTCAGGCGGTGTGTCGTTAATGACAAGTTCCTCGGGATTCCAAGGACACGATGCTCGTCAATCTCTACAAGCGGACAGGGAACCGGCAACTCTGTGATAACAAAAGAAGATTTTCGCTGCCCGGGAGGGCCTTCGCCTGTGCCCTTCTCAATCGTCCCAACGACCATCTACAGCAAGGACTTTTTACGACCAGTCGGCGCGGATCCCGGCGGCAGCGCGGAGCCATCGATATGATCTTCGCCGCCCGCCAGCTGGAACAGAAATATAGGGAGTTGCGGATCCATTTCTACATTACTTTCGTGGGGCCAACGAAGGCATTTAACACGATGAATCTCGATGGATTTTGTAGAATCACAAATAAATCCGGCTGTCCTGAACGATTTAAGTACGTATTGCATCAGCTCTACCACGAGATGATGGCAGGCATCACGGACAATGGGATAGTCTCAGATGTATTCGCAGTGTTCAATGCAGTGAAACATGACTGCGTAATAATTCTCACCCTCTCCAGTCTCATGCTCACCGCGTTGCAGATGGAGGCCTACCGTAATGAGCCAACTTGATTCACCATTGCTTACAGAACTGTCGGTCATCTTCCAAAAGCTATCGCATGCAGGCCTCAACGCGTTTATTCAT